CACACACACACAGATGGATAAATTGTTTAAATTATGCAAAAATGAAAATAACAGTGACATCTCGTTTTAACAAATATATTTACCAAAATTACACACAAATATCTTGAAATACTGAAGAGTAAATATATTCAATAAAATTGCTATTGTCTTCAACCACAGCCTCCAGACAACTTTGGAATTTCCTGCAGCTATTTTGGACGTTCTCCTTGTTTAAGTTGGTTAAGGTTGCCACAATCCTTGCCTTAAGTTCATCTTTGGTGTTATAAGGAGTTTTGTTGGTCTCTTACTCAACTGTGCCCCACACACAATAATCAAGGTGGGGGTTAAAGTCTGGGGAGTTAGGTGGACAGATGTAAGGGATGATGTAGTCGCAGAAATTGTCTGACAGCCATGACTGCTTGTGTGGTATGGTGCAGAGTCCTGTTGTCAGACATCAGGTCTTCTAGCAGACACCCTCTTGACCCAGGGAAGCACTATCTCCTCAAAGTACTTGATGCAGGCCTCTGTGTTGAGTCTGAGGCCTTGTGGGAAGATGAATGGAAGCATAATGTGGCCATCACTAGTGATAACTCCAAACATCTTCGTAATCACCATGAGACTTCTCCAACTCTTTTCAAATCCTCTGCACTGTCCTCAGATTATCACCCTGAAATGTTTGTAATGGAGCTTACAGCATGAATGCCAAGCAGTTGCAAAATTTCTGGCAGAGTGAATTTCATCATGGTGCTCTCCTTCTCACAGCCAGTGCCCAACTGACCCTACTATGCTGTGCAGTATAAAAAATCAAAAATATAAAATGGTGAAAATTTACACCCTGTATATAAAAGTATGCTATATTTATGGTTAAAAGTGCTTAATATCTGGGACAGTGTGAAAATATAAGGTTGGACACTGGGGTCAACACAGAGAGGAATCAGTCTGTTTCATGCTTAAACACTATTTTCAGGCCATCATTATGTCTAACTCTTTAGCATTCAACATACTCAAATTTTCCCCTTAAATATTGGCTCTCGGTGTCTCCCTGTTTGCATGACTTTTCCTGCATTATTTACGATGATGTTGTCATTCTTATTATTGTAGCGTATACATGTGGTGGGTTGAACATTGAGAGCCAATACTTGTAGGGTGGGTTGAATGCTAAAGAGTTAAATATGAAACACTGTCAACACTCTGTGTTGACCTCTGTGTCCAGTTTCTTTTTGTGTATTGTAAGTATATTGCATTTTGGTTTTATATTATATACAAGAGAAATAGGGTACTTATTTTGTAAGTTCAATATTATGAGTTTGTTCCTCACAGAGTGCTTCAATTTGAATTGAAGCAAAAGCAGTAAGTCAATTTTTTAATTTTTTTTTTTTTTTTTTTGTTTGATCAATTTTGGTTCTCTTGGGAAACTGCTAGATTATTGGTCTGATACTGTAAAATTTTTAAGTACATGATGGAATTCTGCATTTCTATGAGTCTGCTACTGTCACTATAATTCCTACTCAACATTTTCTTTTGTCCCTCCTACCACCTTGATGATTTTTCCTCTCTCTCTCTGCTGCTCTTTGTCATTGTGATGGCTAGAGAGTTCCTTTGTTTCTTTGACCTTATTTATCTACTGGTGAAGGGTGAGAGAAATTGCGTGTGTCTCTTTCTCTCTTTCTTGCTGTGCAGCTGACAGCCATTTGGTTCAAATTGAGCCTTCTGTCCTTTCTTTCTACTCCTTCTCCCCCTTTGGTGGTGGTGGTGAGGGTTCTAATTATCTTTACTGAATGGGGTGTTGGCTTTATTTTTCTGTCTGCACAGGAAGGCAGGCATTTTGCAACAGATTATAGGATAATAACCGACCGACTATCACACCACAGTCATTTATTTATCTCTACTTGAGTTTCGCTCTGTCCACACTTTGCTGCTTGGTTTTGGAGTGTGTCTTTCTCCTTCCTCTCTTTATTCTTCTCTTCCTACTTGCGTATAGGCCTGCCCATTTCATCAGGCATTCTTCATTCTTTGCCTATCACTTTGAAAGGAACAGATTTAATGACTTTAGGTCTGCTAGCCGGGCAAGTATTGAAGCACAACCTCCAAAACTCAGTTATTAGTATGTTTCATTGTACGTCTGAGTGCACACACACACACACACACACACACACACACACACACACACACACACACTGTGTACTCCTATTAAATTCACCCCTGTTCAGGTGTTAATGAGAATATCTATGTTCTTAGGGTTTATAGGTTCATAAAAACTTTATTAGAGATAAAGGTGAATACACCATCCCTACAACTTTTGAGCAGTTCAGAAAAAGTAATTGATAAAGAGTTTGAATTCTGGCCAAGTTTGTTATGACACAAACATCTTTTAAGAATGGTATGAATCTCCCCAGATATGGGTAAAATTGCAGGGAAAAACTGTACAATTTGGCCAGGATTTGGCAACCAGTCTAGAAGGAAAACTCTCAAATGGATTTTACAATTAACTGAGCATTTTTTTATTTATTTATTTTTTTTTTTTAAACCATTTCAACTCAAGCAAGACATTAAAGCCACTAATATTCAAGGGGTTACTTAGTGTGAAAGAATGAGAAAAAGAATAACATTAAGGGGAGAGAACAATAAAAGAACAAGAATTAAGACGGAAGATAATGATTGACATTGCTTTTAAATTTTTAATGATCAAACCTAACTGGGAAGCAAGAAGCCGGAAGAGAGTTCCACAACAGAAGTGAAAGAAAAGAAACTGCTAGCATAGAACTTAAGGTTTGCATCTAGCCATTTCAACTGTAAAATGATGAGACCTAACTGCCAATCTAGTATTGTGCTTAAATTTCTAAAGTCTAGATAACATAGGTAGAAAGCTCAGAAGAATTACCATGAAAATATTTATAGAAAAGACAAACATTATGATGGTTGGAAAGTGACTGAAGTTAAGATGCCAGGTAATGCAGATTCCTTTTTGGAAATATTTCAACTTTCTTGCTGACTTTGTAAAATAATTGATTTCCTCTATCATAATTTAAAAAAAAAATTGTTCAAGAATAATGAAGGGGGGGGGGTTAATTCAGTTTATTTTTAAAAAAATGTTACCTACCACCACCAAGAAATTTCTAAAATCCTATACAAGTATAGTAGTAATATGACCTTTTTTTTTTTGTTGTTTATTTGTAATTTGTATGTTATGCTATAGCTATAAACAGTTAAATGCATTAAAAAATACATAAGTACTATTCAATTACATCATATTTTTTTTTTAATCTTTATTGAGAGAGTGAAATCTTTGTTTAAAGGTACTATTCAGCTTTGCACTCCATGGCTGAGAGGTCTAAAGCCCATAAGATCTAGGTTCAAATCCTCCTTGAGAATTCATATTTTTCTCTAATAAAATTTCTAGAATATTCAAGCTGGTAGAGGAAAATAAATATACTGTAAATAAATAAACAGAGCATCTGCTCATATAGAAGTATCCACTACAAACATCTCTCTCTCTCATATATATATATATATATATATATATATATATATATATATATATATATATATATATATTTTCTAATAATACATTTCATTAAAAATGACTGATAAGGTACTTCTGCTGTTAATTCTTTTATTGTATTTTTCTTGTATGTAAAAAAAAAAAAAAAAAAGGAAGTGATTTCTATTTTTTGTATTCAGTAAGTGTAGCAATGATTGTTCATTCCAAATGCTTTTAGATGATTTATTAGCCATTTTCAAGGCTTTTGGTTGTGCTGTTGTAAATTGTATGTAAGTTACTGATAGGTCAATATATTTTTAATTTCCAAATACCACCACATTTTTTAAAAATGCATGACCTATGAAACTGGCTTCATTCACAGAAGAGCTTCTACGTGCCTTCAGGACATTGGTTGTCATAGACCTCCACAACTTTCTATCTTTTGTAGGTATTATCAATGTTTAGCTTTTTACTGTTACTCTAAATCCCTGTTCTGCCATCCATTGACATAAGATTATTGTGTTGGTTTCTTTCTCTTTACCTTCTTTTGCCTTTGATTGGTCTTGTGACTGTTAAATTTTCTAAACCTTCTTTCCTCAAAACTTTAACTTTTTAATTATTCTAAGCACAAGTGTCCTTTTCCCCCCTATTTTCCTTAAAACTTCCTTATTGCTTGCATGTTCCATCCATAGCATTCTCAGCATCCTTCTGTTGAACCCTATTGCTTCAAGTTTCCTCTTGTTTAAAATTCACTGCCATATAGGAAGATTGATACTAAATAGCATTCTTTTCTTCTAATGAAATTTTTTTCCTGTTTCTTCATAGTTTGCTGAGTTTTTGGAAGGCCTCTTTTGCTATTTCAGTGCACATTTTCTCTCACTTATTAAAATACTTGTAATATTTCCCTGATTCAATCTGAAACTTAAAAAAAAAAAAATTAAATTTATTAAATTTAACTGTTTTTAAATTACCAAAATCCCCCTTATTTAGCAGTGAGTGTGGGACAATTTCCTAACAGATGAAGAGGAGTTTTGCGGTAACAGACGTGGTTCTACAGAAGGATGTTGAGAATACCGTGGGTGGAATATGGAAGCAACAAAGAAGTTTTGAGATAAATGGGAACAAAGAGCATGTGTGTACTTCGAATAAAAAAGAAACAGTAGAAATTTCTAGGTCATTTAATAAGAAAAGAATAGTTAGAAAATATGACACTCACAAGATGTTGAAGGCAAGGAAGAGTGAGTAACTTCCCTGATGAGCTTGTCTGGATGAATAGCAGAACAGGAAATGAGAGGAATGTTATTAAGAGCTACAAAGGATAGGAAGTTGTGGAGAGCCGTGATTGCCCATTTTCTAAAGGGACATGTCATCTAGAAGATTTTCAATTATCTTTTAAAATTGTTCTTAGTATTTTTTTTTTCTTGATCATACTTGTTATTGGCCTTACTGGTAAAATCAATTTTTTTCTGCTGTTCTTATATACTTGATTTAATCATGTCTATTTCTTTCTCTTGCAGATGGTCACTGCTGTGATTCTAAGATGGCTGAGGAGGTGATTGTGGTAGCAAAATATGACTACAAGGCTGAGAACAGCCAAGAATTGGACATTAAAAAAAATGAGAAGTTACGTCTTCTTGACGACAGTAAAGAATGGTGGAAAGTCCAGAATTTGCAGAGCAAAGCGGGCTTTGTGCCATCCAATTACGTCAAAAAATCTAAACCTTCCTTCTTTTCTGGTCTTCTTACTCGGAGAAAAAACAAATATCCCGTGGCAAACCTCCAGTCCCCACGCAATGGGGTTACAACCCTGGAGCAGAAGAGTCCTGGAGGTGCCGACATTCAGATGTGTGAACACGTTCCCGCCATTGTTAAATATGGGTATGTTGCTCAGCGACCAGACGAGATATCGTTGTCAAAGTCTGAAAAGGTGATAGTGATGGAGAAATCCATTGACGGCTGGTGGCGGGGACGAAAAGCGAACGAGGAGTATGGCTGGTTTCCGTCTAACTATGTGGAGTTGGAACAGAACTCTGATGGGTCAGATGGTCTGGCAGCTGCTCGTTTGGATTTAGTCTCTATGGATAGCCTTCAAGTGGTGACGGCATTGTACACATTCACTCGTACGAATCAAGAAGAGCTTAGTTTTGAGAAAGGTGACCGATTATTAATTCTTGAGAAACCTATCGAAGATCCGGACTGGTGGAAAGCTAGAAACAAATATGGCCATATTGGGCTTGTGCCCCGAAACTATGTACAGGTCATCGATGACATTGAATATGACACAGCCACTAACGATAGTTCATGTACTCCGCACTCTCAGTCAGCTAGTAGTCTTTCAAATGCTTCCTCACTCAGTGTGCTTTGTATGGCCAGTCAGAAACAACAGCATTTATCGGGACCTCTAGCTGACAAAGAGTGGTACTTTGGTAAAATCACACGGACTCAGTGCGAGGAAATGCTTGGCAAACATGCCGAGGATGGTGACTTTCTTATTCGTGACAGTGAATCAACGGTGAGTATCTTGGATTGGTGCAGACCCCATTAACTGCACACAGCTACCACATACTCAGAAATTGGTTGGTTACTGGTTAAAAAAAAAAATATTTATATCAAATGTATTTATTTCTATTATATTGCAGAGTTTTTCAGATTTATAAGTCCAGGTAGAATGGCATATGAGACCCATATTTCTTTTCTTTTTTTTTTTCTTTATCCTAAAAATGAAACCAAAAAAAAAAAAATACTCAGTGTCTTATATGTGAAGTATACTTTAAAATATACTATATTTTTCTTTGAATTTCTTTCTGAAGTGTTTCGTATACCATCAAAATATATTTGTTGTTTTGGCAAGCAAATAAGTTACCATATATTTCCGCATAGAAGACGACCTTTAACTCCCAAAAATCACCCTTAAAAATTAGGGGTCATCTTATACTACAATTCTAAAAAAGAAACCTTAAATTCTGAGGGATGTTTGTCAGTAGGCTAACCTCAGCCTCAGTTTGATAACCAATAATGTACATGCAAAGATTCACATTATCAAATAAACTGATAATAAAAGTAATAAAACCTTATATATTACTGGCATAACTTCATAATAAATTGCCTATTTGAAGAATAATTCCATATCAATGAAATCAACTTTTATCCATGCAAGCTCAGCTGAAAAAATTTAAACATCGAGTTATGATTGTATTCACACCAATGGAATATACTATTACCATGCTGTTATTAGCAGTATTTTGTGATTGTTGATGAAGTATAAGTAAATGGCCATTAGTGCACCAGGTTGTTTGTAACTGTTTAGATATAGGAAATAAAGAGGAGGAGGAGAAAGAAGAATAATCAATATTTGCAAAAGATCACGTGATGAAATGTAAACAAAACAATGGTTTCCCTTTTTGGGGACATGTGTAGGAAAAACATGATATAGAATCTGTTTTGTTATTTTGTTTATTTTGAATTTCTAAAAATACAGTAACAACATTTCCAATAATATCATTTTTATATAGTCACTAAGCAGTCATTTTTTATTACGGGTGTAGGATAAATTCATGAAAATTTATTTTATTTTTATTTTTTTACTTTGTCTTATCTAAAGGTTGCCTTATATGCAGAAATATATGGTATTTGCAAATCTTATATTCATTATATTTTTCAGGAATTGCAAAAAGAAAAAGTTTAAACATCCTATATGAAGTACTTCCAAAATTCAGATGACATGGTGTTTGCTACCCTGAACACTACAATCTTAATCTCCTCAGTTCAAGGGTCAACCATTATCTGTCACTTTTATCCTCATAAATGTACCACTTCCTCTTTCATTCATATCACACACACCTCATTCATCACAACCATTTTAGCAGTAATTTATTTCTATTATGTTAGTTTTTCAGATTTATAAGTCCAGGTAGAATGGCATACAAGACCCACATCTTAAATATAGCTAAAAAAATAATTACCTTTCGGGTCTTATATGTAAAATTGATGGTATTTTTTTTTAACAGTATGTCTCTACCTTGAGTTTCTCTTGAGCCTTTATTGGGTGAACTTGGTATAAAAAAACATGAAACAGTTTACAAAGAAATGAAAGATCTGTGAGTTTTTGCATTAAGCATTTGATGGAAATAAAAAAGACATTTAGAATCGGAAAAAGACAGTTGAAATTTCTAAGATGCATAATAAGAGGGCTTAGAGAACTTGACACTCACAAGGCATATTGAAGGCAAGAAGGATGGGGTGGGAAGTAACCCACCTAACAAGCTTTTGCTAATGGATAGCAGAACAGAGTTGGAGGGGATAGTAAAAAGATAAACCTTACTAAGAGCTACAAAGGATAGGAAGTTGTGGAGAGCCGTGATAGCTCACGCCCTGAAGGCACACAGCATATAGAAGTAATATTCTTATGAAACAAAACAAAAAAATGCAATAATTGGGGTAGTTTAAAAAAGGGATTCAGGAGAATAAAACTAATTAATTTTTTGTAGTAAAATAAAAGGTGACAGAAATTAAGTCATAAAGCTGCTTTACTTGGGCAGTAATGAAATGTGGCAATCAAATTTTTCCTTTTGACTTAGGAATTTGATCTTTTGTTTTTATTGACGCACAACAGATGTGCACTGTAACTTGGCAAACTTGTATTTCTATCTGAAATTCTGGGATGAAGAATTATTATTATTATACAGCCAGACTAATGTCCTCATCTTTGTTGTTATCTTAATGTTTTGGCTGTTTTATCCACCTTTTTTCATTTTTTTTTTTTTTTTTTTCCCTCAAGTGTCTGTTGATCTGAGTAGCCTTAGGGCATTTTGAACTGAATCCTTCATTTAATCTGTTCATCGATTAAATGATGCAATGTCCATGTCTAGAGATCGTCTCATTTTGTCCTTTTGCAGTTATTTCTTGCTCAGTTTCTATTGTCTAAGTTTTTTTTATTTTCTGGTCCAATGATTGAATTCATTGTATTATAATTCTGTTTTGTTCCATAATTAGTGCGACCACCACGCCCAGCCAATACTTCATAAATAATGGACTATTGCGTTTTAATTGTTGAGGAAAGACGGAAATGACGTTTGGTTTCATTAAAAAAATATAAATAAAAAAATAACTGAAAATGGAGGAGGTGATAATGCTCTCCTGTATTTAATGTCTGCTTCAGTGAAATGGAAGAACTTGTCAGTCTTTTAATTTGTGTCCCCTTACTTCTTTAAATAATGACCTGCATTCATATTCATGATCGTTATTATAATATCCTGTTAAAGTTGTTAAGCTCAAATATTTAACAATGCAATAGAGAGAGAATTTCTATGGGTATTATATATAGTTGTAGAACTTGCAAAGGGCTTATTCAATCATTAACTTAACAATTTATCAAAATTAAATAATAAAAAAAAAAAAGTGAAATTTTCCTGATGATTACTAGTAATTGCTATAGTACCAATTTTGCAAACCAATCTTTTAATTTACTAGGCAATTGACCAAATATAAATAAGACTTAGTTTGCAGAAGATGCAGTCAGCATATTGGCAGTATTTAATTTGAGTATTTTTAAGTAAGATTTAACAAAAATGTGCACTGTAACTTGGCAAACTTGTATTTCTATCTGAAATTCTCGGATGAAGAATTATTATTATTATACAGCCAGACTAATGTCCTCATCTTTGTTGTTATTTTTAAGTAAGATTTAATTTTAAAAAAAAGTTAAAAAATATCCAATGATACAAAAGAAATAAAAAGCAATGTATTAGCAACCTGGTATGACTACATATTAATGAGATATTTGATTGTTATGGTAACATGAGACATGTTTACATCAAGTAGCAATGAATACTGGTTACTTGCATTATTATAAGGCAGTATTCATGCAAATGATAGCCTTGCTGTTTCACCAAAAATGGCTAACAGATTCAAGTATAAACAACCATTATTTACCTATCCCCAAAAGAATTAAATACTTATAGAATGAAAAAAATTAAAAAAAAAAGTTAACAGAGAATGCCTCAATTTTGTAAAATAACCAAACTCAACCCAAATTAATTAAAAATAAAATCTTATCACAAATTACTTTATCTGCAAATTATATTTTTTGATGTACAAATGAATTACTGTTTTTCTGTCACCCTGTCAGCTGGGGCTTTAGAATATGCCAATTGCACTTCTGCAGAGGGAAGAGCCCACCAAATGAAACCTCTGTAAGTTGCAATTACTACAAGGAAAACTATTTGAAATCCTGAAGCCATCAACATAATGTCCAACCTTAAAGAAATAGGTTTATACCAAAACATATACCACCTACCATAAATCATCTACAAATGTTATATCTATAAAACATACATTTACCCTGAATAAAATTATGTACAAAATATCTAGTTGAAGGCATACGATTGTGTCCGAAATGTGCGTGGTTAAAGGCATACGATTGTGTCTGAAATGTGCATGGCTGAAGTCATACGATTACGTCTGAAATGTGCATGGCTGAAGTCATACGATTACGTCTGAAATGTGCATGGCTGAAGTCATACGATTACGTCTGAAATGTGCATGGCTGAAGTCATACGATTACGTCTGAAATGTGCGTGGCTGAAGTCATACGATTGCGTCCGAGATGTGCGTGGCTGAAGGTCTACGATTGCGTCCGAGATGTGCGTGGCTGAAGGTCTACGATTGCGTCCGAGATGTGCGTGGTTGAAGGCCTACGATTGCGTCCGAGATGTGCGTGGTTGAAGGCCTACGATTGCGTCCGAGATGTGCGTGGTTGAAGGCCTACGATTCTGTACAAGATATTTAGATTTCAGTATTAATCAACCCCAGGATATTGATATGCTGTTAAACTAAAATGACCAATAAAAACAAACCTGTTTTTCTGGTCAGTTTGGGTGAACAAATCAAACCCCCCCCCAATGTCAATTCTGTTGTCGTTCCTAGCATAGGAAACCCATTTTGACATGCAAACCATAAAATAATTTTTCAACAAGAAAAACCTTCCTGATTCTGTGTGATATAAAAGTGCTTTTCTCTCTCTCTCCCCGCCCTTTTGGATCAGATCCGATCTTGTTTACCTCTTTTGTTCTGATGGATTCAAAAGCCAATCTTGTTTAGATTTACTGTTGATGTTTAAGCAAAGACCCATTTATGTATGTCGCTGGTCAGTTGTAGTTCTTGTGGGAAATGGAACAATCTACAATAGAATTAAAACAGGTGGGGTCTGCTCTGATAACAAAACAATATGCATCATGTATTTATGTAAACAATTTTGAGAAGTTATTTATTATATTAAGTGTGAAAATATTAAAACCTTTTCTATAGATCAATGTTTAGTCTAATACCAGAGATGAGAATTTTGAAACAGATTACTAAGAAGTTTGTCTCCTAAATTGGTAAGTTTAATCTACTGCAAACAACTTTCTTTTACAAATTGGTGCACTTATATTTTTTGAGTCCGACATCATAGTTGAGTGAGTTTTATCATTGCTAATACGGGTTTTTGTAATAAGCTCTGATT